TTCTAGAGTAGATCACAATTTACACAAATATTGCATTAATTGCTTTTCTTGCTGGTGCATGTATGTGCAGGCGTGTGTGTATAATATCTGGAGGGGTGGCTAATATTGCAGTTAAATAGCACTGGCAAGACTGCAGAGCACATCAGGTTCACAGTTTCATAACTTCACAACCCCTTCACTGTAAGATCTTTGTCTAGAGTACTCTTATTCTGCCTTGATTCTTCTCATTCTATAGGCTTAATTCAGGTCTCACCTTCCCTGATAGTATGGCTAAGTATCCCTAAGCAGTATGCCTCTTTTCCTTGCTGCCTCTCTGGTAGGCTTTGAGTGCTACAGGGAACTGATTCACTATTGCATCCCTGACACTTAACACGGTGCCTGGCACAATGTCAATGCTCCACAGGTATTGACAATATATCCTATTCTTCCAATGTCCAACATGTATTAAAGTAACTAAATCCTCCCCTTTTTAAACCACCTAATACAAAGTTAATCCTCTGTGGTTGAAAAAGTATAATTTAAAAAGCAAAACAGTCATTACTTTTTCATCTCATCTGTCTAGTTCATCTATAATCTGTCTAATTCATCATCTCCCGCTTTTTATTTCAAAGAGCTAAACTCTGAGAGATGCTGTTAATAAGGTCTATGTGGTTCTATATGGGAAGCACATTATCCTCCACTTAGGCAGCATGTATAGTGGCTTAGCACGTAGGTGCAGACCCTGTCGGGCGAGTGATTATTTTACTTCTCTGTGTTTCTGTTTCCTCCTCTGTCAAATAGGACTAATAACAGTCTTTCTCCCTCATAGAGTTGTTGTCAGTATTTACTGAGTATTGCACAAAAGGTTTGGAACACTTAATAAGTGCTAAGAACATGCTGACTACTATTATTAAGCAAAATTCAACAGCTTTGCCTTCTTATTTGACTTTATTTTGTTTGGTTGCTGTGGATCTGCTGAGGTTTTTTAATACACTGGTATGGCTATGAATCTCCAAGTAAGCAGTATTTTCCAAATTCACTTGATGGAAAACCTACTAGCATATCCCAGAAATAGTGAACCTCAGAATATACTTTAGAAAACTCCTATTTAATATTTTTAAAATAACATTAACATTTTAAGAACCAAAATTAGAACACTGGTTTGATAGGTTTGGATGTACCTTAGTTCACTGATACATAGCATTTGAAGTGAGGACTGTTCTAGTAATCGTACAAGCAAACAAATAAAAACCAAGACCTATGTGATACAACATTAAAATATTTTTTCCTAAAAAAGGTGAAGTACAAGTGAAATAACTCATCAATTTTAAAGTGAGGACTTCAAATATTGCTCATATAAAAACATCTTGACTTTGTTATTATTTTCTATAGTTGAAAAAATATTGCTTGATAAAGCTGAAGGGTCAAACTTCCTTATTCAAAATTCATGCCATTTATCTTAATTCTGGTACATCTGATAAGAACTTCCTCTAGAGCCAGGAAACTTTGCAAGTATGAAATAATCTGAAAGAAGAAAGTAAGAAGGAAGTAACTGACCATAGTCAAAAAACAGGAACAAATTCTCAACCAAAGCATATTTAAAACACAAGCAAAGGGACAAAAGAAAGAGCTGGGCACACCAATCTTGAGGTAAGTAAGAACCTAATTTAAGGTGTCTGGGTAATGAAAAACCATAAGAAACAAGTTTGTTTTAATTATTCAATTTCCTTTATTTTATCAAACGTGGTTTTTAGAAAAATTGCCTTATGTAGCCATAGAAGGAAAGCCAATGCACAAACTGAAAGTGATGTCCATGTTTCTTTATAAGTATCATGCTCACAAGCATATGATTATGCTTTGTTGCTTATTTTGTTTCCAAACAGAAAGACATTATCTGACTTGAACATTCCAGAAGTTTATCAACAATTTGTGACTTTAAGAAAAATGGTTAATTATTAGGTAACCTGTCAGAATGGCTTTCCAAAATTAAAACAGTCTTTTTTAAAACTGAGCAAAGTGAAACTTATTTAGGTGTTAAGCTATATTTCAAAGGTTCTTGCTTAAAATATGTTTTTCATTATAGCAGGTCTTTGTTTATGTCTTGCAGGGTTTTTTCTACAACATTATTTTGAAGAAAGGGAAAGGTTGCGTTTCTTTTAATGTAAAAAGCCTTTTTGTCTTTATCTCAGGGAATAATACCTCTTAGACAAATAATTTTACTACTTAGGTTGTACCAGAATGTCTACTCTACATTGAACAACATGGATGGTAAAAATAAATTCTCCTCTTAGAACCTAACAAATTAGGCAGTTTGTTACCTTATCATCAGTTGCAGAGGAAACAATAGCCTAACCGAACCCTTACCTTTACTTCTCTTGCAGGTCTAGCAGCTTTAACAAAGCTGTTTAATTTCAATCAGTTAATTTGAAAGCATTTTGTAAGTGTATTTCAAATATTTTGCAAATAATTACTTAAATAAATAACCATTTATACCATAAGATATCTCATGGATGAGTGATCTCTTCTATTTCAGAAAGAAAATGTGATCCTATGGTTAAAGTAACTTCCCAAAACATTGCCCTTTATCACAAGCATCATGTCTGGCCTCATTAAAGATGGACCTTACAGACTGTAGCTCATAAATCTTACGTGGTATACTATAAAGTTCTCGACCCCAGTATTACTCCCAAAAGTTCCAAGAAGATTAAAAAGAATCTATCTGGGGAGTCTGTATATGTTGATAAAATAAATTTTATAAATTAACTGTATGTCATATTCAGGTTGGTTATATGAAATGTCAAATTGAAAATTTGCACACTGATATATTCTAACCTTGACAAAATACATGAAATTTCACTATTGTACATGAATACTCACTGAGAGCTGGCACCACTTATGTGGACTTTCATTTTTTTAATGATTACTATTATTATCCAATAAGCAATTTACTCTGTTTATTAGCAAATATTCAATAAGTTAGTTATCCAGTGTCTCATGCTGGTGTTGGCAGTACAAAAATGATAATATATAGTTCTAGCCCTCAAGAACCTCCGACCCAATCAAGCTATACAAATTTAGTGGTGAATGCACTTGATAGCCCTTTACAAAGCCCTGGATACCCTTTGGGTAAATAATATTTTGAGGGAAATTTTACTTGAATCCTCATTCAGTCACATCTTAGTTATGAAAGAAGTTACTTAACCTTTTAAATCCTCTCTTCTTATCTATAAAACGATAACAATAGTACTAAGTATGGCAGAAACAGGATTAAATGAGATAATTCATATCACAGTATTTAGAAGTTGACACAAAATAAGCTCTTAGCTAAGTACTATTGATGATGACATTCAACAAATGATGATAATGATCTTACAAGCACTATTAACACTATTGGATGTAATCATTTTTGTCTAGGCTGAAAATATACAGTATTAATGTTTTGTGGATAAAATAATATAGTAATAGAACATTCAGCCTAGTTGAACAATCAACCTAGTTGAACAATCCCCTTTTCTCGCCATTTTAAAAGACCAATTGAAAACAATCTAAAACTATCTCGAATGAAATTTATCTTCTGAAAGTTGTAAGAAGATCTGTGATAGGAAGGCTTTCCTTTTTTTTTTTTTTACTTTAAATATCTCCTTTCATATTTTAAGTATAAACTATACAAGTTTAAAGGCATAGCCTGAGGTTTTTGTTGTTGTTGTTGTTGTTGTTGTTGTTTTGAGCTGGAGTTTCACTCTGTCACCCAGACTGGAGTGCAGTGGCCGCTCCCGGCCACCGCAGCCTCGCCCTACTGGGCTCCGGCGATCCTTCCCCCCTCAGCCTTCCCTGTAGCCGGAACTACAGGCGCGCGCTACCACAGCCGGCTAATTCTTGATTTATTGTAGAGATGCAGTCTCGCCAAGTTGCCCAGGCAGGTCTCGAACCTGCAGGCTCAGGCAATCCACACGCCTTGGCCTCCCAAAATGCTGGGATTACAGGCTGAGCCACTGAGCCGGGCCTATCCTGAGTTTTAAACTATCATCGTAAACAATTAGATACTAAAATTTGGAGTCATTTTTAAATTTAATATTTCAATCGGTAAATATTGGTTAAATGCCTTTTCTATGCTAGGTGTTATGCTATTATCTAGTAATATAAAGATGAAACAATCTGACCCCTGCCCACCATTTAACCAGGCAGGAAGACACACCATTTTGTGTCATTTAGATTCTCATGATATCAGAGAGAATGGACTCCATATGTGACTACAAAGGAAGGTGTAATTAGGAAAATACATGGTCCCTGCCACTCAGAAAAAGGATGGGCAAGGCTTCACAGAGGAGGTGATAGGCAATGGAGTTGATTACGCATGTGTAGTATTATCCCATTTGTCCTATTGCTTTAAGAACCTAATTTTCACTTGAAAATTGGTATTCTTATTGTCAAAAATCATGTTGAGATCTAAGGGATAAAACCACCCGGGCTGGGCTTGGCAGGAACAGACTCTTCTAATTTTTTTCCATCATTACAACTACTAGTGCATTCTATATTGAAAGCAGGAACTCATTGCTGGTGTTTAATGTATTAGTGGCAATTAGCAGAGTTTTTAATACCATGCTACTAATATATTTTTAATTTATAGCAGGTTTCTGGATGGAAGATCATTCAACCTTCCTCGTCTTGAGTTTTCTACTCTGCTATTATCTTCCACTCATTTCTGCTTCATTTTGTGATTCATTGACAGAAAAGAATGTGGAATGGAATAAAATCCCTACCAACACGGTACAATTATACATTAATGGCTGTAATGTGAACAGCATCACATACAAAGCGAGCTACCTTCCAAAAATCAGTTTATACAATCTCTCCTCTAATTTCATCAGGACTTTACCAGATCATGTTCTTTCAGATCTGAAAAAGAACTGCCCCAAAAACCTTCCAAACTCATTTTTGAGCTATAAGGAATTACATCGGTCTGTACCTGTCAATTCATTAAGGGTAACACCAAACCACTTAACAGCATTGTTTATGCAGAAATGTTGAAAAGCTGGGGAAATAATACTTCAGTGGCCATTTCTGTAGGAATTTCACTTCTTTTGCTCTTGGTGGCTTGTGGAATTGGATGTGTTTGGCGCTGGAAACACCATGAAAACACACGATTTACCTTACCGAGTTTTTTGCAGAGGAGAAGCAGCAGGAAAAAAGACTACCATAAAACATTTTCCTTGAATCCCCACATTATTGGCTGCAGGCATAAAATCTCAGTTGAAACCCAAGATCACAGATCTGCCATCGGGGGAACTGACACACACGACAACTATGAAAATGTGGAAGTAGCCCCTCCCAAAGATAAAGAAGAAACTGATCAGGAACTCTATGAAAACACACGGTCCTGTGCATTCGAGGAGCACATTTATGGAAATGAAACATCCTCTCCCTATTATGACTTCCAGAAGCCCCGTACTTCTGAAGCTCCTCAAGAAGAAGACATATACATTCTTCCAGATTCATATTAGCTTTTCAAAATAACCGAGTTTTGTTATTGTAGGATAAATATTCGCTGTGACTTTTATTGTACTGATGCCATTGGTAATCAAGTTCTGATGAAATCACGTGGTTTCTCCTCCATCCCCACCCTTCTGAATCCTCTCCATGTGTAGAGCATTGAGGATTCATTCTAGATATCCTCTTCACCCTCCTTGCCCTAAATTCAATCTGTATTATGTGATATCAATGATTCTTTCTAAATGTTACTTATTGTCTTTATCCTATATTCTACCTTCACTATCTTTTTCCGACTCAGCGTTATTATTGTAGGCTTGTAACTGGTTTTCCTGTTTCTACCCACTCAATCAATTCTCCATGATACTGTCAGACTTATCTTCAGGAAATATTCCCAGTGGCCACATCACTTTTTTTGCTTAATTCCTTATAATGTTCCCTCTTTGCAAAAGATATAATACTCAGAGTTCTAACTCCAGAATTCATGATTTTCCTCAATTGGTTTCAATGTACTTCTCCGCAACTTCTATTAACCTTTCATTTCTCTGCTTTCAGAAGAATCATCTCAAATCCTGCCACACTAATCTCTCCTCCACAGCTTTGCTTGTCTGCCTTCTCTCTCAAGCCTGAGATCATAAGTTTTCCCGCAAGTCTTCTGAATCATTTACCTTTTTCTTTTTGGATATCCTGTAGATTTTGCTGCCTCTTCAATTCTTAGGGCATTTAAATATATAAATGTTTGTCATGGCATTTTATGACCTAAATGCATATGAGATCATTTTAAATTCCCATCTAAATAAAAAGAAACTGCCTAATGTTCACGTTGTTAACCTAAATGCCTAGAAGCTCACATGAGGCACTAAACACTTGTTCAATGGACAGGAATGGAATTGTACATTTTGCTAAGTAGTTTTTAAAAGAATCTAATAAATGCATCTATTATTCATCCAACCAAGGAATATTTGTTGAGTACCTTCTATTTACTTGTCATTGTGCTGTGCACATGGGGGTGGGGATGGGGGATGGTTATAATAGCAAAAAGAGAGAAATAAGCCCTAAACACATATGGTCTAGTAGGAAAGAAAAGATAATAAACAAATAAATATTATGGTCATTATGAAGCTATGATATCTCATCTCTAAATTCATCCTTTTATTTGCTGCTCTGAATTATTCAACCTGGGATTGTAAAATTTATTTTACCAGGTGGAATCATTCTAAGCTCTGCCAATGGGGGGTATGAAGGAATATAAAAAAGTAATAGAAAACAAAATGGACTTGTTCTGTCTTATTCCTCTTTGTTATCCCCCAGAAAGTACTATTGCCACTTGATTTTCTCCAGCATCCCTCATTGTCTGCAGTTTTCTAGTTGCTGCCATCACTCCCAGAACCAGCTTCATTGCATCCTGTCAGAAATGACAGGATCAGCCTGTTAGCATCCTCTGTTAGATTCTGAGAGCCAAGCCCTCTTCCAAGCTTCTGAGGTAACAGCAAGAGACAAGAGGCACCCTCAGAGTCCTGGGTCACAGGCCTGCAGGGCTCTTTCTCTGAGGTCTGATAACTCCCAACCAAGAATGCCGTAGCTACTATCTCTGCTGTACTTGTGTTTCCTTTTTAGTTTTTCAATCTGTCAATACCTGTTTTGCTGATTCTCTACATTAAATTCCCTTTGTTAAAACACATGGGTATAGTTTCTATTTCCCCAGTGTACCCTGAATTATACACATAAAAATGGTAGTAGGTGCTTAAAAAAATGCTTTCTGTGTTTTAGAGCCATGGCATTGGGTAGGGACGAGGCTTTCAATTTTAATAAGATGGTCAAAGGAGGCCTCTCTAAGGACACACTTAAGCTGGGACTTGAGGATATAAAAGAGTTATCTAAGTAAACATGACAGGCAGGGGTAAGGATGAGACCAACATATAAAAGAAGCTGAGGCATAAAAGAATTTATGGCACTCAGGGAACTTAAAGAATACCAAAAAGCCTGGTGCTTCCTGAGAGATGGTTGAAGTAACACCTGCTAGGCTGGTGAACAGTGGACCATGCAACTTCTTGTAGATTTTGGCATGTGGCTTTGACTCTATCATAGTGCGACTGGAGTAAGTAAAGGGTTTTGAGTAGAGGAGTGACAACAACATTTTCACATTTTAAAGAGCTGGTGAGCTGAGAAATGGCTGGAAAGAAGCCAAATGGAAGTGGGTAGGACAGTTAAGAAGCTTTTACACTTAAGTTAGACTGGAGTGACTGCAATGCAGATACAGGCATTGACAATGCTGACCTGTTCTTTGAAGAAATGGCACAAGACTTACTGATGGACTCAGTGTGTGTGTTGGTGGAGAAGGGGTAAGTTTGGGAATTGTGGGAAAGAGAAGAATCTAGGACAGCCACCTATTTCTGGATGGAGCAAAAGGCATCACTGTATTTTACTGAGATGAGAAAGACTTAGAGAAGAAACAGGACTGGAAGAGGTGTCAGTTAGGAGTGAGTTGGGCGGCCAGTGACAGAAAACTGGACTATATTGGCTTAGATACTTATAGTTTCAATTATTTCAAAACAAGGAGACTGCACTTAGGCATTCAATGGCTGGCATATTAGCTCCATGGGGATGTATAAAGAGATCCAGGTTCTTTCTCTCTTTTCTCTCTGCCATCCTTAGTGTTTCAAATTTTATCCTCATAAGTACTGCCTCATGGCCACTCTATGGCTGCTGAGTCTGCAGGCCGTATATTCATTTTTCAGCTATGAAGAAGAAACAAGAGGAAAGAAAGAGCAGCACCAAGAGAGTACTTGTATCTCATTGTCCAGAATTTTGTCACATAGACAGTGCCAGATGTAGCAGTGCATGGGAAATTAAGTTTTGAACTTTGAAAGCTTCATAGGGAGGAAAGAAAAAGAAAAGGGGGATTGAAAATAAAAATGAACTCAGTCAATCTCTAGTATTTGCCACAGGGCAAAAACCAGTTTTAAAAATGTTCATTTTAACATGTCCTAAAATATGTCCTGAGATCCATGTAAAAACATCCAGTTTGCAGTTGTATGTGCACATTGGACTTTGAAAGAGAGGTCCTAGCTGGAGCTGTAAATCTGATAGCCATAAGTATTTAGGTGGTGCTTACAGGAACAGGAATGGTTACTGTTTCATGGTGGTCAGATCCACGCAAACCTACCCCTAAAGTTTTAAGAAGTTGAGAGGTCAAGGAAAGAGATTGACATATCCAGTTTCTTAGAAAGAAACATTTAATAAAAATTTACAAACAGAAGCCATGTCTGCAAGACAAGATGATGGATCCATGTGACATTACCTTCCAGATCTAGGGTCTATATACCATAGAGAAAGGGTGATTAGAAAAGGATGTGTAGGACAATTGAATTAGATAACATCAAGGTTGTTTGATCTGAGGACAGGGTTTACTGTAAACACTAGCTATTACACAAGGAACAATAGATAAACTGGAAACCTTAGAGGCCTCCTAGGAACTGCGGTTAATAATCAGAAGCCAACATGGCAAATTAGCATGCAAGATGGAGTTGCTTTGACCTCCACATATATGATCTCTTGGAGAAAGATTATAAGGACAACAGAGTAGGGAATCAAGAAAGAAGAATCCAGAAGTTTTCCCCAAATCGCAACATTTTGAGGCTAGATTAATGAAAAGACTCTAGCAAAGAAGGCTGAAAAAAAGTGACCTGGAGAAAGGAGGTGAATTCCTATGATACAAAAAATGGTGGCTGATAGTGTGGAATACATAATGTTTTGACGTTTTTACATTATAATCGATTATTCAGAGTGTCAAAAGACGAAATTTCAATACATTCAGTTTAAAGATCTAGTTGGTTTTTATTAATAGTTCATAAGCCTGGCAGTATTCTATCTAAAGATTTAAACAGACTTTTCATTGGGCAAGGTAGAACAGTCAGTTCTTATAAGGTAGTTTTTAGCAGAAACAAGTAAATAGTGTAATACAACAAAACAGAGAAAGAGAGAGAGAGAGAGAGAGAGAGAGAGAGAGAGAGAGAACTGGTTAACATAAGGTTACTTTGGGTTAGTTTTCTTGTTAAAGTTGAGAAGACTTCCTTATCATGTAAGCGAAAACTGGCCTGTTTGGGAATATGGCTATCATCTCTCTCCTAATTTCTCAGAAGGGCAGGTAAACAACTTACAGATAAACAAGTTTCAGTTCGGTGGTGTGGCACTTTAGCATGAGTGACTTCATTTTGGTTTGGTCTGTTGGGATCCAAAACAACAGATTCCCATAAATTGGACTTAACAGGAGATAGAATAAATACTTGATCTTTGTTTATTCTTTTTGACCAGAAAAGATAGTAAAAGGCTGTGTGTGGTTCTTACTGTGAATTTCTTTTAAATTAATTATAAGTTTCTTATCAATTAAAAACCTCCCTTCTTACCTTATTAGCAGTTCTTGAGGTAAGGAGGCTGAGGGGAATAAAGAAAATCATCATCCAACTTTCTTCATCCCTTCTCCCATTGTTTCTTCTCTTTCTTTCTCCCTCTCTTATTTCTCCTCCTTTTCTCACCAATTCTCTTTCTCCTTCCATCTTTTTCTTCTTTCTCCTCCTTTTCCTTATCTTTCTGTCTCTCTTTGCCCTTCAAATTTCTATCTCCTGTCCTTCTTTATTACAGCATTTTTTTTTATTTTGGCCTTCTTAAAATCTCAAAAGTAAAAGTTGCCCATGAGAGATAAAGATAATAAAGTCTGTCTGCATCGACTGAGAGCAGCAGTTTGTATCGAGCTTACACTATTAGCAAAATAACCACATGCACCACAATTAAGAGGAAGGATATTGGGTGTGGGGAGAAGGAGACAGTAACATTGGATATACATAGTATGACTTTTACATATTCACAGAATTGTGTGTTAATATTCTGTGATAAGTTGTCTCTTTAAGACTGTGGCAGCAATCAGCAACAAGGAGCACCTGGTTTCTTGAGCTTGCTCTCAGCCTGCAACTTAGAACGTTTTATCGCAATCTGCCTTACATCTAATTTCTCAACCTATTATTGATCTCCACAGCAAACGGGCCCTTGCTTAGCCCTTGAAACCT